ATCCATCTTAAAAACAGCCCAAGAGTAAGCATATTGTGGATCTTGTAGTTTAACCAGTTGCCATAAGGAGGAAGCATGGGAAGCACCATGGCAAATACAAACACGGGAACAGAAAATAAGCAGCTGAACAAAAATTGGTCCCTATACATACGGATTTCATTCACCTTTTCCCTTTCTCTTTGCCCCGAAGGAGAGTACAAGGTTGCTTGATGCTTCTTGGGGCCAGAGCTAGCTCCCTGAATACAGTGAATGAGAGACCTTGGACCTGTAACATCTGGATCATAGCTAACCGAGACCTTATGTTCTGACAAATCCATCTCAACATGGTTCACCCCGACAGCTAACTCAAGAGAAGACATTACTAAATTTACATCTTCTGGGGAATCAACACCTTCAAGCTTTAGATACACTTTGTTTGCATCATTCCCTGAGCTAATAAGATCAGCTCCAAAACCTGTATCTTCTATGGCCTCAATTATCTTGCTAACATTAGTGAGATTAGGATCAAAGTGCACTTTCGCCTCCTCCAAAGCGAGACCAACTATGGCCTTTTTCACCCCTTCAACGATTTGAAGGGCATTCTCAACAGACTCGGAGCAACTTGTGCATGCCATTCCTTTAATCCGCACTCGGCACACTGCTATGTCCTGCTCATGAAGCTCATCAACTCCAAACCCACTATCCTCTATGTTTTCTTTTATTTGTTTCACCTACAGAAAAAAAAAATAGTATCATCAGACATTTGGTCAGTATAAATATTAAAGTTCATCAAGGATTTAACAACAAGTTCATCCCTGAAAGTTGTAACTCAAGCTTATTTAGCCCCTAAAAGTTCCCACTTATACAAAGTCCTTCAAAGTTAATAACATGATCAAAACTTAGATGGATTTCCTCGTGTTTTTAGTGTTGTTCTCTTATCAGAATTAGAGCCTGGCCTCAATAATTAACATAATAAAGTTTTCCCTTTGCATTAAAAGTCATTAAAGTTTACCAACATGGAATCGATTCTCGCAAAATATAACATCAAGCGAACTTTAGAAACAACATCCAAGTTTCCCAGACCAAATTGTATACAGATTCTGTTTCTAAAAAAGATAAAAATAAAAAATGAGTCAAATAAACACAATATAATCTATGCGCAAGAGAAATTAATACATGGTCCAGAACCACCATGCACTCACAGTGTAAAACAATGGAGGGTATATTTTTTGGAAAATGCTAACTAGTACCCTTAGGGTGGTTAAAGAATAAAAATAAGGTTTTTTATTGCCATGCAGAGAAACGCAGTCCCCTGTAACTTTTTATTAAGCTCCCACGTGATTTTCAACAAAAAAAAAATTATCCTTTTAATTCCTTAACCAACTTTCAGCACCGTTTACCAATACTCTAATCTCCTTTAGAACAAGTGATGAATATTAAACTCTAACATAAAATAAAAGAAAACAGATAAATGATTCATTTGGACGGGGAAGGAGCTGTCAAATTAGTTCTTGAAATACAAACCATTTATTTTAATTTCTGTGTAAAATGTTCTGTAATTACATTTTATTCTTATTATTAAGTTTCGAGACCAACAATTAAAAACTAAATAAGATTTTTCATTCTTCCCTCCCGCACCAAAATAGTCATTTACCAAAATAAAACAGAGCAGAAAAGACCTAAGTCTGACTTACAGTAACCAACTTAGGGTCAAACTTGATGGCGGCGCGACCGTCAAGCGGCGAAACGGCGACGCTTTTGACGCCGTTAAGGCTCCCGACGACGGCCTCGACAGAATTCACGCATGAAGAACACTTGACGTCGCTCAGTTGGAACGTGACGGTCCTAACAGGGGCGGTAGCAGCTTCCGATGTATGCAACAGTGGTAGCTTGAGTTCGTCAATCCCGTCAGGTTCCATGGAAAGATTTGAAATTGAAAGACACCCAATTCAGAGGAGAAGAGAGGGGTTTTGGAAAATAGGAAAAGGGGAAAGACGAAGCGAAGATAGGGTACGGAGATTCCGAGAATCTATGGGGAAGATAAGGATAAAAGAGGTGAGAATAGTGCTTAGTTGATGATAAAAGTTGGAATCCTCGCTGGGTGGTGTTCTTGTTTTGAACTTTTGAATTTGTAACTGTCTCCTCCTTCCTTTCCCACCAAGTTTTCGTCTTTGCTACTTCTAGGTTCTATCATTTCGCACCGATTGACTTTTGTAGAATCATTTATTTTATGATAGATATTTTAAACATAATAATTAATGTGTGTTTTATATTAAGAATTATAAATGATAATATATTTAAAATTATAGATAAATTTATAGACATATAGAGAGATTAAAGATAAATTATATATTTTTTAACGTCTTTTTTATACACAATTATATTTATATATTATTTATAAGATAAAGTAAAAAATAACTTAAAATACAAATTTGAAACTATTACAAAGAAACTGTCTTCGAAATAGTTTCGTATTATTAGATATATTCAATTCTTTATAACAACATGACATAATCTATAAATTGAGATATTGCAATAATTTGATTATATAAATGGTAAATGTAAATAAATATATTTAACATTTTAAAAATATAAATTATATTTCATATTTATTATAAAATAGGTAAAAAGGTTAGTAAAAGAGATTATAAGAGAATTTATTCCACTCTCTTTCTTCTTGAAAGTTTGCCAAAGAAAACTACGATTAGGTCCACATAACCTATTGTTTTATTCTCATTGGAATTTCAACGTGATCACAACATAACAAATTAAATAGATAAATAAATTAAGGTACTTATCGTTGATCATTATTTTAAAAATAGGTTCAGATTGATCTATTTAATTAAGAATCGAATTATTACTTTAAAATAATTAGATTTTAATTAAATTGAAATAAATTAGAAAAATCGATACAAAATCAATAAATTTGGTTAAATTTGTATTCCAAAGAAAAACAAAATTATGATTAATTTTTTTTAATATAATTTTTTTATAAAAAATATAATATATTTTAATTTTTTTAATATCTTGTTTGATTTAAATAATAGTTATTTTATTATATTTTTATCTTATTTTAATTATTATTTATTTAAAACTTTTTATTATATTTTATATTTGTAATATTTATCTTAACTCATTATCACCATGACAATAATTTTATCGTTTAAAAGAATATAACAACTTACTATATATTTGATATATAATTATTATTATTTTATTAAATTCGAACATTTAAACATGAATCTATATTTTCGCTCAATTCAATGACCAATCCTATTTTAAAAATTGACACAAGTTTTAGAGTTTAATATTAATAAATGATGTAGTTTATAATCCAAAGTTAATTTTATAACGTAGTTTATATCATTTATCTTAATAAATTTTCATATTATTGTTAATTTATTATGTTGATTAAATTTTAATTAATTTAATTGCATTATATCTTATTTTTGGTTTCATTATTGTTTAAAAATAAATACAAATATTATTAAATTAAGTATATTAAGTTTATATTAAAAAATATAATTACTATAACAAAATAGCTGTCACAAAGGTTATATTTCTACACTTTAATTAATCCTTCTTAGATAAGAATATTTTTTCTTTGTGTGATTAGTTGTTAAAGTTTAACTTGAAAACCGAAATTTATTAGTAAGAAAAGTAGCCATAATTTTTAGTATATTATAATAGATAATTTGAATGTGTGGATAAATGAAACTTGGTTACAAATGTATTGTGTTAGTTTTATATTATTGGAATTGTGAAGGAATTAAGCATGTCATATTGGAAGTAGAATTTAGGTATTTCATAGATAAGTTTTGTTTGAATATGAACATAGATAAGGGATACAATAATTTAGGTTGTGAGAGTTTATAAAAATTATTTATGACTTAATTTATGGTATGAAATAATTATAAATATGAAAGTGATTATAAAAATAAATAAATAATTTAATATATTTTTTAATCTGAAGATTTTACATATTTGTAATGTATATAATTTTTTAGATATATAAACTTTTATTTTTAAAAGGAGATATTTTATTGAGAAATAGATTGTAATATAAATAATTTATATATTTATTATCAAGTGTTTTTAGTTTTATGATAATGTAATTGTGAGCTGAGATGCCTTAAGCATTGAAAAACAAGAAAAAAAATTTAATGACAATTTATTATTATAATGAGTGTCAAATTTATTGGTTTAGTAGAAAATAAAACTAAAAATAAATTATATTTGTAGGTCATAATAAGATAAAAATGTAACAAAAAAATACTAAAATAATTTTTTTATCTTATTTAAATTATTTTATATTTCATTTGCTTAAACAAATAAAAAAAATTAAAAGTTCCATTAAGACCATACAAACAAAAGAATATAAAATAATACATATATTCTCTAATAGAGAATATAAAGAAATATAAATTCTAAATTTCAAGGTATTTGAAATTTCTTAATTTTCATATAATTTTAAATAAAATAAAAAAGTGAGACTTAATTAAAATGTAAAAATATAATGCCATCTTATTAAAAGCATAAAGGAGATATTTAAAAAAATATATTATTATATTAAAACTTAATAAAGAAATGTTAATGTTTGCATTTTTTTTAAGTAGAGAGTGTAATTTCATTTAATTTTTTTAAAATAAGTGTTATTAATATATTCTTTAACAACATATCATAGTTCAAGTTACAAAATCATAAGATAAAATCATCAAATAAAATGTATAACTCACAATTTTTCTTTTCATATTTTTAATTAAAAATGTATCGAAAGAAGTGTTTTGTCATAGCATGACTTCATTATTATGTCTTTAACTTCTAATAATTAACAGAGTTCAGTTTTAATTTTTCAAAGAAAAATTATTTTTGTTTCAGACATTCACAGTTTTGAAGCCAAAATAAATTTTAATATTTAGGGAATACAATTTATTTAATTTTCTGAAAATAAAAAACAAAAAATATATTTTTTGAAAAAAAAGAAAGAAAGTAAAATACTTCAGAGTAATCACTGGGTCATGATGCTATATAACACCAACACCTACTCAGTCTCTGTGTCTCCGAGTGAGAAAGAGAAAAACAAATCAGTGACCGATTTTAGGCACGAAAAAGAAAGAAAAATGAGTTTCCGTTCTTCCATGAACGCCGTTCCCCTTCTTCTCTTCGTCCTTTTCGTTTCCGCATTAGGTATGCAATTGTGCTCTTCCTCTTCTTCACCGTTACGCGCGCAAATTTTCAACTCCTCTTATTTTCGTTTTCTCTTCGTTCCGCAATTGCTTCAGATCTCGACAATTTTCCGCTTCAATTTGTGGATTTGTATGGTTTCTCTTTGTAAATGACAATTATAAATGCGTTCTGACTTTTTTTTTTCTGTGTTTCAGTTTGTGCGAAGAAGACGGCTGATGTGACGGAGTTGCAGATTGGCGTGAAGGTAGCCTTTAAAATGTTACTTTTGTTAGATCCATGGCATTTTTATTTTTTGTAGTTTAGGTTAGAGGTTTTGAATCATTCTTACGGAAAATGAGTTTGCATAATTTTTTTACTTTTGTTTAAAACTCATTGTCTTGGTATATTTTTAAAGTTGATACACTGGATTTTAATAGATGTGATGGGTCTATTGACCGGTGAGTGTGACCACATTGAACGATCGGAAGTATAGTAGGAAATGTAACAGCACAAGTTTTGTTTCATTGGCTTAGCTGCAAAGTCAAACGGTATTTTTTGCATACAAAAAAATGTTAGTACTTGCTAATTTTATGGCATCAGGGGTGCTTCGACATTGTCTCATGTAACGTAATGTGTGTACAAGTGCAGTGAAAAGCCTTATATTGGGTTGGAATACTCAATATTATCATGTTATGCATTTGAAATGGCTGAAGAAAAAGTTGATCTTCTAGGCTATTAGGTATAACAGTACATATTTTGTTCAAAATAAAAAGAAAATCATGGTAGTATGCTTGGCAGTTTGTGATTGTGTTGTAAAATAAAGCCTAATACATGATTGGAGTTTGACTGTGGCTTTGAGTGAGCTAGTGGTATAGTGTGATGGGGAACAGTACTGTCCTTGCAGAGAAGTACATTTTATGGGCTACAACATATATGTTGTCTGCTGCAAGATCACCAGTTCATTGTGACAGGTATCATTGACAGATTGTTATGACCTAGTAAGGATGGAAATGAAATTTCTGGTAATTTATTATGGAGGTTGAAAACAGGGAATAAATTATGATTTCCCCTATGCAAAGATTTTTATTCCCAGAGATACAGATGTTGTTGCTTGTCAATATCTGTCCGCAAGGTTATTTTGATTGTACATTCCTTGAAACTGAGTTTTATTCCCTCAATTTTTTGCATACTATTGATGCCCTGTCTCTTTGCAGCATAAACCAGCATCATGTGAAGTTCAGGCACACAAAGGCGATAGAGTCAAAGTACACTACCGGGTGAGTAATTTCTCAAGTTTATGTCGTGAGACCGGAGGATGATGCAGTTTAGTGAAACCTTTTTTTAAGTAAACTTAGTCTTTTCTGAAGTTACTTCTGAAACGCAACAATAAAGTATATGATGCATAATATTCACCATTCATCAGTAAAATTAACTCACCATTCATTATATTACATGTAATGAACAACGCAAAGTACTATAATAACTGTTAGTCAATTGTACCCTCTTATGTTGAGCAATTTTCATGCCACTTTCTAGAAAATAACATTACTAAATTATGTATTTTGTTGGTCTATCTTGGTGGTTTATTTTGGTATTTCATAATCTGAACTTTGCCCTCTAATCTGGTCAATAATCTGACTTCCCATTGAAAGAACCTGAGTGGGGGCAAGTTATCTATGACTATGACATAGTCACAACTGGAAATCATCTAGAGTCATTTCGATGGTGTATTATTTGGGTATCCATGCTTTTGTTTATATGGAGTGTTAACATTAGGTGATCAACAGGATAAACCACAAAAAACACATTTTACACAACATAATATACTCTAACGAATAATTATTTTCTAATATCATTTCATTTTTTAATTTGATGAGGGATCCATGTATTCACTTAGTTTGGTTGACCATATTCTTGCTTACTATATTACTTGTGTTTGCAGGGAAAACTCACTGATGGAACTGTTTTCGATTCTAGCTTTGAAAGAAATAATCCCATTGAATTTGAGCTTGGTAGTGGTCAAGTGATCAAAGGTATGTTGCGCATAAACAACTTCAGTTTGTTAAATTTCTAGTTTCATTACCAATAAAAGTGGTTATCGACTTGCTGGTGTGATTGTTTTCGTTTTTTTATTGAAAATAGAAGCCATTAAGTTGATAAAATAAAGGAGAGAAAAAAATATGCTGCAAACTGTGAAGAAATTGTGTAACAGATAGCAGTAGTACAATGGAAAGAATCATTCTACAATCAATTATTGACGATTGATTGTTTGTAGATTTTGACGTTTGCAAGGCATGTAGTATGTAAATGTGACCTTGTAATACCCTGATCTTTCAAGTATCTTCTGTTATCAGCAACACCATAAAAATGTAATTGTGAGCTATAATTGTCACTGACATATTTTCGAATTATGTGTTTTGTTATTGAATTTAGATGCATGGTTGTATTTACATAATTGTACTAGTATGTGTCGCAATTGTATTACAAATTACTGGTTTATGATTAATGGGGAATCTTTGAAGATATAAGATTCCATTATCACTTCGTCTCTCTGCAGGGTGGGACCAGGGATTATTGGGAATGTGTCTTGGGGAGAAGAGGAAGCTGAAAATACCATCAAAACTGGGCTATGGAGATCAGGGTTCCCCACCAACTATTCCAGGTAATTTATCATGTTGATAAAGATAGTAATGTTCTACCCAGCATCCATTTCTAGTTACTAGAAGTTATGTTTGACAGCTAAGATATTTGATCAGATTGCTGCTTGTTTTTATGTAACCCCTGATTAATCTCGCATGTACTTTAGCAGTTCTGATTCGTCTACTTAGTATAAAATATTATTAATGTGTTGTTTATCCTAAATTTTTAATTTATTACCATGTTAAATTGTTAATACGAGGAACATCGTGTTTTTTTCATTAATTTTTTTGTTTCAATTTGAAAAAGTTGGATTATTATCTCTCATAGGAATGGGGTTTTAAGAAACCTGACAAAACATTTCTGGAAAGCATGGTAAGAAACATAGTTTTTCATTTTCAGCTTAGAAGCTTCTTTTATAACAAACCTTCTCTTAAAGTTCAGATGTAGAGGACAACACTTCTCTTTCTACGTTGATGTGTTTTAGATCAAATTTTAATTACACTGTATGGAGTTATTAGGGAAAATAACTTGCTAAAAAAGAGGTGAGGTAGGGTGAAGAATGTTAAATTAGTTGCGTTTTCCATGAATATTCAATGTTCTAGTTTGTATTACTTTTTTTTTTATATATTTTCTATATAATCCAACAAACTATATTATGAATAATTATGGTCATCATATATGAGTTGTTATAACTCACAGGTGGTGCAACACTGGTATTTGACACTGAGCTTGTGGGAGTGAACGGCAAAAGTTTAGGCGAAGAAAAGCAAGGCTCCGAACTGTAGACAACTAAAAAGAAATTGGAATTTCCAGACTTTTTGCTATTTTAGCTTATTTTTGTTCCTCAATAATGATTTTATGACCCAAGCTATAATGAGGTTAATTTAGAAAGATTTAGCCTATTTATTAGGGTTTAAGTATCTGTTCGAATACTCTTCTGAAAAATTGCTTTGTTGTCGAAAATTAAAACAAAAAACTTGTTTAAATTAAATTGAGAAATGTCTTATTACATCTTAATACTCGTTTGTTTTATTTAATTTTGTTTTTGTTTTAAAAACAGATATTCAATTTTAACTTTTCATTATTAGATAAAAAATATTTAAAAATATTATTTCTATTTTATAATGATTATCTTTATAAATTATTCCACTGAATTCTTTATCGTACTTGTGACATTAGGTTCTGTTCTATTATATTGTGTTCATTGAATCGATTTTGTCTTGGACAGAGCTTGAAATTGAATGGCTTCTGTGGCACTTCGTGAATTTGATTAACGTTTAAATAATCTTCATTTATTTTGCGATTATAATCATTGTGGTTTTAATGCTTTATTTCAAATACAAGTTTTGCGTCACGTATGAACACATCTTATTTGAATTATAAATTAAGTATACGTTAGATTTGTTAGTCATTGTAAATGGTAAAATTTTTAAGTTTATTTAATTTATTTTCAAATTAAAAATATTTTATTTCAATTGCACATCTAATAAAAGATGATGAATTATATATTTGCTTGTTCATATGTATATTAAAATTTATTATAATTAGGATGATGAAAATTAATTAATTAATTGTTTTTATAATTAATTAATTGAAATATAGTTAAATTATTTTTATCATACAATTTTATATAGTTGATTAAGGATGGTATGGGTTCTTGTCAAATTCTTGATACATGTTTAATTCCTCGTAAGAACTCAAAGTAACAGTGATTCTAATTAACCTATACTTTTAACTGTCATTAATAAGAACGACAAAACAGACATTTAAATTTGGGAAATTAGTTTATTAATTAAAAATAGACTAAAAATCTTCGTTTATCTTATAGAGGGTTGGTGGATCCATAGATCAGCCAAAAATATATATTATAAAATTATTTTTGAAATGATAAATTTAGATAAAGAATAAAAATATCTTAATAGTTCAGTTTAAATCTTATTTTAATGTTATTTTTTATTAGTATTAGAAAAATTAAACTAATGATAACAATAAATATGTTTTTAAATTTTTAAGAAAAATCAAATCTTTAAAAATCACATAATAAAAAATTTGAAATAATATTTTATATTATTAAAAAAATTTGGTATGTCACGTTAAGTGGATTAAGTGAAAAAAAGTTAAAGCCATATAAATTGAAATACCTAATTCAATTCATTTTGACATACATTATTAATCATTAATATGATAATTTTATTAACAGAGTATGATTATTTAAATAATTATATATTTTATATCTCAATACTTATGTAAATTTTATTATAAAGTAGTATGTTGTATTTCATTGAATTAATGTATAATTTGTTGGTGAAATAAGTTTATTTTTACCTTATTATCATGAATTTTGTTATATTAAAAAATAAACTTACTACTGTTATAGATTATAATAATAATAATAATAATAATAATAATAATAATAATAATAATAATAATAATAAATCTATAAAGTTTAAAAAATTTGTAATAGACTGAACACAATGTTAATGAAAAAATTACTAAGATGTATATACAAAAATTGAGTGTTAAAAATAAGTTGGACTTCAAGACAAATTCTAAGTATCTTATCGAGACATTAATAATTACGTACATAATTACCATGATGTTTATGAGTTATATATTATGTATTAGTTTTATTAAAATGATAATAGTAACATTTAAAGCTTTAAAAATAATTATGAATGAAAATTTCTTTGTATAATTTATTTGTAATATTATGATTTGATTATGACATTTTTCTAAATGGGTTATAATATTTATGAAAAAAATGGAATATGCAATTTGTTGGTTAAAAAGGAAACGAGACATAAGATTAAGGAAATCATTTAGTCTATTATATAAGTCACTAAGAGATTTAATATCGGAAAATAATTTTGTAAAGAAACACAAAAAAGTTAATGACCAAGATTAGTGAAACATTTGATAAATCTAGAAAAGAAAAAAAACTATAATTATAATTTTTGTGAAAAATTTAAACATTTATATAACATTTGCACAAAATGTAAGACTTGGTTTGAAAAATAAGTAAATTTAATGGATAAAGGTGTTTTAAATCAAATTTAAGTAAAGTTTATCATATATACAGTGAATATTAGATAAATGAGTCATGTTTTCACTATTATGTAAAGATTCCTTACTTTCAATCCATAAATTCAAATGTATATAGGTAAGTTACTTCATGATTTACATCGAGATGAAAATATCTCTCAAATTTTAATATAAAAACCAATATTGAGACAAATTTATGGGGAAAATATTTTCACTAATAATTATAGTTGAGATATTTACTTGTAACATCTTATCAAAATATGCATATTTTTTAATAGAGTTTAAAGATCAACTCCCTTGAATGTGTTTTTAGTTTGTAATCTATCCATGTTTATATTTATGATTAGTTATGTACTTTTAGTAATAAATATTTAGTAGAAGGGGTCAAGATTTATCATTTAACTCATATTATGGAGATTGGGTTAAAATAATGGCATCCAAAAATATTTAAAATTTATAATTTGTATTGTGTAAGTTATGAATTATAAGGTAATTAACAAACTTAAATTTAAACACTCAATGTTAATTATAACATGAAGTAAAGTATTTAGAATAAAACCAATCCAAATTTTGTTTGAGTCTCTTACTTTATTTTTCATCTTAGTTTCTTTCTCTAAAATTGGATTTGGAAATCAAATATCTATATTTTTCTTACTCACCTACCTTAATAATAACTTCAGGACCTTTACCCAATTTTAGGTTTTGTGAAGGAATTAATATCGTTGTTGGTTTTAACTTAAAAAGGCAAGATAATCATATAAATATAATATGACTTTACATCAAATTCAAAAATTTTAAGATATTAGATTTACGAATTTTTCTTACTTATGTTAGTCGACTTTGTTATTTTTATCAACATGGGACTTCAACTTATGATTCTAATACTTCTCCTCAAATGTGTTTATCTATATATAGAAACATATTCCGCCTCCAACAATTTTTTTTTTTCAGACACAAATACCTCAGTAGTAATCCTTACTAAGAATATATATCTTATTAGGGATCTTTACTAGGACCACCATACATCTTTACTAGTACCCCACACATATTATATTAAACAATTACTCCTTTAATATATATATATATATATATATATATATATATATATATATATATATATATATATATATATATATATAAAAGTACTTAAATAAATTGATTATCAAACTCTTAGCATTAATAAGAAATAACATAAAAACACACACATTTTTTTCTATATTATTTTCTATCAATAATGCTCTCTTAACAAACTTATGGTTAAGTGAATCAATATTAGAATTTTTTTTCTTTTGTTTTTTTTTTAATCTTATGCAATCTACTTTAACTAATCAATATGGAGTTGTTTAATTTTGTTAACGTACAAAAGATCTTCATTTAAAGAGTTTTGTTTTGTTAACTTTTTTCATTCTTGATATGAATCACAATGGGTGATTTAAGATCTTTAAGGTCGAACTTTGTAGAAAATTTAGTAACTTAGTGATAAGGTGAAGGAAAGAATCACTCTTTCCAAGGAAGACAACACACAAAGGATGTGAAAATCCTTTGATACAGCTAAATATTCTTGAATCACTCAATAACTTAGGAGAATCACTCTCACTAAGATAAAAGAGATAAACTCTAATATTTCTAAAAATAAACTCAACTTGTTATTTCTGATAAAAACGGTTCAGCTTATAAAGAAGCTTTGACATCAGAGTTACAAATATTCATTAAAGGAAAATAAATGCTAATAATGATTTATTAACTTAGGAATTGAAAACTACTTAATGATTGATTGTAACTGATTGTAGCATCCAAAAGTCAATCAACTATGCACCCTCTTGGTCTCCCAAAGACTGATAACTAAATTTTCAATTGGACGCTTATTACAACTTGCAATAAAACTAAACTAAAATCCATTAATTGATTAATCCAAAACACAATTTGGTCAACCAACAATACTTGTTGAAGAGCTTCTTTTGTTTCCCTTGCTCTAGCCCTTATTATAGATCATGTTCACATCATTGTCTCCCTCTTGAAAAGGATTTGTCCTCAAATCGGATTCGTCATCTACATTAAAAAGATATAAGTCTGACAAATTAAATGTAGAACAAACATTATACTCACTTTTTATGGTTAAATAGCTCTGTTTCACTTCAAGTGTTTCGCTCTTCTTCTTTTTTTCTCTCTTTTCTTGAAGAAAATTTTCTTTCATTCTCTTTTTATCCTCCTCTGCCATCAATTTGATGTTCAAACCTTTAAACCGGGGCTCTGAAATACCAACTGATATGAATCACAAGGGGTGATTTAAGATCTTTAAGGTTAAAACCTTGTAGAAAATTTAGTAATTTAGTGATAAGGTGGAAGGAAAGAATCACTCTTTCCAAGAAAAGAGGGTATGTTCAGCTTTACTCCTTCAATTCTGTTATCTCTAACATCACCTACATTATTTCTCCTTCTCCTCCTTCTACCTCCACCATCATCATCATTTCCTTGATTTTCTAGTTGTTCAATTCTCCCATACAACTCCTCGGTATGTTCTGTCAACATTCTTTGCATTTGGGCTGTAATGACATCAATCAATAATCTATTGTCACCCCCTAGAGGAGGGGTACCACCACCACCACCTGCACCTTCCATCTTTCAAGTAAAAAAAAGAAAGGACCAAACAAATGAAGTAATAGGACCTCACCACTCTTCTCATGTGTTTGCACTCAAAGATGTATCACTCGTGTTTACTCTCAATTTGGCTTTTGTATAATAT